TTGCCCCCTCTTAAAAACAAAAAAAGAAAAAAAAAAAAAAAAAAAAAAAAAAAGAAAATACCAAAAACCCAAACAAACCACTTACCTGTGCCCAGCTCTGTGAACAGAAAACCCACATACTTGAATTGAAGTCAGCTAGGGAAAAGTGCCCAGATAAATTCAAAGCATTAATTGTATAGTAGAATCCCGAGAAAGCCTATAGAAAAGGAGATGACAGGCCTGTTACTTTCAGAACTACAGAAATCCAAAGCAAGCAAGCAAGCTTAAAAAGAAATGCTGTGTTTGCAAACCTACCACAAAATTCCCTTTAACTTTTGGCTGATATATTCCATTAAATGGACAGTCTTCTCTGTCTCTGCAAGCAGTGAAGTTAAACAACAGAGAAACCATCTCCTGGCACAGACCTGGGTCTCCTGTTCCATGGAAGTTCACGAGTTGGTTTGGGTGGTAATTTGCCGGTCTCAGAGACTGTGTACAAAGGCTGCCAGAGAAGTACTTCATCGTTAATGCAGTATTATAATTCTGAGGGTAACACGGATTATCCACATTGGAACTGGTGTTTGATTTCTGGAAAAAAAAAAAAACACAAACAAAAAACCCCAAACAATAAAGGCTGCTCAAAAGCAAGAAAGACCTAATTTGACTTTAACTACGGGAATCTTTTTAAACCATATATGCATGTATTTTTGTTCTCTTCTCTGTCATGGCTGATTAGTACAACATTGGTGATCACTGTAATTCACAGAAACTCTTTTCTCAGAAAATCATTGGCAAGACCAGCAAAACACTTACAGGTCTAGCTGGGCCTTTTTGTCAAACGTTACGAAATGCTCACCAATTTTTAACAAATATGAAGATCTTTGTATGAAACCTAAGTCCATTTGTCCACAACTAAGTACAACAGAGCTCTTATTCGGGTCTTCAAACCCCACCAAAGGGAAGTGAACACAAGCCTAAGAACCTGCTCAGACAGTTACTGAACACCTGCAAGAGCAATATAGCAAAGGGTCTTAAACAGACCTGGAGCAGCAATGCTAGAAGCCTTTTCTCAGCTTCGTCTCTCCCATAGCACTGGAAGCTGTGAGTGTAGACATTGTAGTTATAACCATACAACTTCACTTGCAAGGTGCTATTAGCGTTCTCTTGAGAGTCGTCTGGGATAAATGATATTTGAGTGGAAGCTCCTCCAAGATCCAGTGCACCCATAGTCTCTTTTCTGTAAGGACGGACCCATGTCCTCCAAAGGTTTCTCTACAGATAAAAATAAAAACAAGGCTAATTAGAAATATCATCTGCTTGTCCCTTCAAGCCTTTCTACTCTTCACTTAAGTTTTTGAGATTTTTCCCCCCCTCTTTGTCCTGCACCTTTTCTAAAAAATCTGAGGAAAACATGCAGATGTTTTTACATAAGAGGGATGTACTTTCACAGAGTGAATTTATCTCGAAAGGAATGGCGAAAGGAATGCAGCGTAGCTTTCGGCTCAGAGGACAGCACAATGATCAAAGCACAGGACTAGCCAGCTGTACTAGAATGCAGGGAACTGAAGTCCAGATACCCATGAAATACTGAACAAATCTGGGTGGAAATAGTATGAAGATTTGCTTGTTTCAAGGGAAGAATAATTATTAAAGGGATAGAATATTAAGAGATCACACAGAAGAGTGTGAAAATAGAGTGAAAACCACAGAAAAGTCAAATGAAAGCTCCATCAAAGTCAAAAGAACAAGGACTCCTACCATGCACATTTCCTTCACTGAAACTGCAGTGGTAATAAATCTTATCCGTTCAGCTGGCATTTTTCTCTATTACCCAAAACATCCCCAAATTCTGTATTTGATCTACACAGTCCCAGGCAGAATATAGATTTTGTATGATTATCTATCTCCGTATTTACTGCAGTATTACATACTAAGCGTGATGATATGAATGCATACACAAGAAGGGAAAAGAAGCTTTATGGGCTAGCAAATACACTCACAAGAAAATCCTACAGTGAAAGATTCCCATTAGCAGCCCCTAGCAGAATTTGACTCTCAGACCATTGTCACAAAAATGATGAAAACTTCTCTCTCCTACTAGTGATAGGCCTTCTCACAACTCTCTATACTAAACTGGCTCCACAGTGTCTTGCAGTCCCTTCAGTAGTCCTTATGAATCTGCCATGTGGAATTTGATATTTGGATGATTAGAATTCATGTGGTGGAAGACTGACACCACCCTGAAGTTCATGATGTCATTTTTGTTACATGAAATGCACACAATGAGAAAAACTCTTCTGGAACGCGTGATTCCAATATCATTTTCCTTAACTTTGCAAGAGTCAACAACACATTCACTATGAGCTATCGCTCAGATCACCAACAACTAATTTCTGCTTATTAATTGCCATGATCTAATAGGAACCATTCAACCAGGACAGCTAACAATACTCAGGGGTTTGGTTGAAATTTCTTTCAACCTAGCAAGACTATCTGGAAGAAGTGCAGTTAACAGAAAGGGCAGCATGCTACTGCCATGAATGCAGATGAGCAGTTGTGGATCATCCTGGTACAGCTTTCACTGGGAATGAAATTATACTGAATATCTATATACAAAAAGGGATCTTCCAACACATTTGACTCCAAGACCAGGATGTATGGGGCTCTGAGCAACCTGATCTAGTTAGATGATTCTATGACTCCCTCTCCGCTACGAGGCTCCTGCCTGATCCTATTCTGAGTTCAAGGACAGCATAAGTCTCTTTATATTGGCATCACTTTGTCTGCACCAGACAGTTGGTATCACAGCCCACTCACTGCTCATAGCCTGCAGCTTTTCAGCAGTACTGGAATGAACTGTATACAAGTGATTTCGGGCTCAGCTGAGGCACATTTGGCCACATCAACTTAACCACCTGCACTGCTTCAAACAGTCTTGTCTGCTTAAGACAAGTGAGCCAACACTGCCGAACAATTTGGAGATCCTAAGCTGTGCAGATCCTTCACCAGTAGAGCTGCAGGGACAGCAACCACCTGAGGAAGTCACAGAAAAGCAGAACATCTTTAGTTGGCACCACTGTCAAGCCAATCAACACCTGTCATAGTTAACATACCAATGCATTTGAGAGCAATGCAACTTCTGTTTCCAGGCAAGGAATAGGGTATCTTTCAGGAAAGAGCCCTGTCTTGTGGATCAACAGTTTTACCTTTGCCATATCACATTCCTGTTATACTATATTCTTTGATTTATCTTCACTTTGTCCTATTACTGCCACAAAAAGTCCGTTATATATTTCAGCGCAAAACTGAAAAGTTGTAGCTGTTTTAACAGGCATGCCCTCTCAAACTTCTCATTTATAAGAATGAAACAGAAAATAAAAGCATGCAGTTTTTTCCACACACCTCTAAGAAATTGCCCATTAAATAGTTGGCTGTTATCCATCCATACACCCCTTCCTCTGGCCCAGTTATGATTTGCGCACCCCTAAATTCAAAAGGTTGTGCTCTGAAGTAGTTTTGAATGCTTGTAAGGACTTCATTGGCTGCCGTTTCATTTTGCAACCTAAGCAATTCACAAAAGATGAGACACTGAGCATCTGGAAAGGCAATTTCACATGTATTGTTCACTGACTAGCAATTCAAGAGAACTCCTACAATCACCTAATTAAAAATAGACATTATTTCCCTAAAGGGGAAGCTCACGATAGGGAACAGCCAAGTATACAGCATTGTTTCAGCAAGCAACTTTCCCACTGTGTACAAACTTTATCATACAAGTTCACGGGTGTTTTGTTTCTTATATGTACTTTTCTTTTTAGTGAACTGAGTGCTTACATGACAGTTGCTGGTTAGAACAGTCCTGGAGCCTTCCTTCCCACTCTGTTTAGCCACAAAACAAACATAAAAAGCCAGTTTGTGCTAGGGCTAAAGCCACAGACCGACCCCAAAAGCCACATTACACCACATTCACACTCAGAAAACTCTGCTATGTCTAGCTTTAATCTGCCTTTGCTGCCCACGGATACGCACAAACATTATCTGTTTACATAACACTGAATTTTAAGACAGATATGGAAGAGAAAATTAAACTCCTGCCTTCTCCAGAATAAATCAAGCATTTCTTTTCAATATGGCATAACAGAGGATTTTTATACAGCCCCACTATCCCTATCAAAAAAGTTAATTAAATTAAATTGGCTGGGCTCCATTTCCTTTTGTGGTGGCCAATTTCCAATGGATAAAAATGCGCTCAGTACATTTTTCATATTCTGTTTTCACAGACTGCTATGCTAGTACGCATACAGAGGAGTCCAAGTTTCTGCCATACCTCAGTAGTCTCATGCCAGCTGTAGCCCCCAGATAAACAGAAGTGTTTTTATGCAGATGAACTGGTATTCTCTCCTTGACTTTATTCAGGCAGTCATCAAAGGGTTTGGCAAGAGCTCCAGGGTTACTCTCATAGCTGGATATACCAGGGCCTAAAAGAGAACAAATAGACTGATTTCATTCTGCTTTGCCAACTACAAATAAGCCCAATTAGCAACCAGGTGTTAAGAGGAAGGTATTTCTCCCTTCCCTCTGTGATTGCCAATAAGGATAGGATGGTTGAAAACTACAAGTGCTTAAGGAATCAGCAATGTAGTGACTGCCTCAGCTGTGGGAAACAGAGAAGATACTTACAAACTGCTCGCCTGGATTTCTGTGTGTACACATATACATCTATAGTACCATAGAGTAGAGCAAGATATACAGTATAACCACATACCAACACAATAACAGCAGTGCTATATTCATGGGGAAATTAGGTTTACTCATGGCAGATGCTGTAGAAAATAGTATGTCTAATGAATGTAAAATTTCTCTGATCTACTGAAGCACAGAAAATCCCTCCTTGCACAACCTAAGACAAAGATTTCCTAATCTGGTTTGCCACAACTGTTGTGGACACCATGGCACCTCCACAGCTCATTGCTCTCAACTGAAAATAAAATAAAGAAACTTCTGCAAAGAATTGCTGGTGAAATTTCAAGATGCACACAAATGGTTCTTGAAGTCATAGAGGTCCAAGTCTAGGCTGGTGCATGGACTACTGAGTATTTCACAGCTTTACAAATTTCCAAAGCCTTCAAATACAGGAATGAGAGTTGCTGCATAAGGCGTAACTATTTGAACAATTAACATCAAAGTCTTTCCTCCCTTGCTCAACACTCCAAGGACCAGCAGGACCTCAACTTGTTCAGGCTCAGCTTGGGTGTGAATAAAAACATTCCTTACTAAAATTCCCTATCTGAGGAGGTTGCACAGGGAGAAATCCAGACATTCCCATGAAGCCATTGCCCCACAGAGAACAACTCTGCCAGAACTCCATCTAGTTCTCCTATAATAGCCATCTCTCTCACAACCTGATCCCAAGCTAAGCAAAAGGTGGCTCTTTGCAGAATTAAAATGAGAAACCATTTATGTTCAGCCACATTGATTGATAAAAACAGAAGAAAAATATTTAAGATTTTACAGACTCCACACTCCACCACTCCCTTTTCCACAGTATGAACTTAAACATAAACTTCACCATGTTCACAGCCCTGGTTTGGAATAAAACTTTCTAAAAGTCTTAAGTCTAGCACAGGCAGGCCTGAAGCTGGAAGGAAAGCTGTTACAAGAGGAAAACAGAGCAGCAGCTGCTGTTGCCTCACACTCCCTTGGTGGCAGCAACCTCCGTCTTCCCAGTGTACAGACAGAGCAGGTTACAAGGCCGTGACCATTTTGTTCTGGACAACTACCTGCTTTGCTGATGCTTAGAGCCTGACCAAGACAGATTGACTGCAGAAAGGGTTTTGATTTGGGGCTGGCTCCTACACACATGGGCAGAGGTACCTAATAAAGGCAGAAATGAAATCATAAAACCCCCAGAGAACTTACAGAGTAGTTGGTCATCTGACTTTCAAATTCAGTAGGTATGTGAAAGTCTGCCTCTCAGTATGCCATCCTCAAACTGAAGTGCTTAAGGCTATGTTTAGAGGGTCACTGAAGAAACACTGACAGATGCGTTCACCACTGGCCCCCATGGCTTAGTTTGGGGCCTCTCCCATCAGCCCTCTGTCTCCTCCAGTGCAGAGTCACCCAAGACTGGAGCAGTGAACCCTGGTGATTTGGTACACTGGAGGATGAGGAGTCCAAAGTTGTGCTAGGGCAGGTTTAGGTTAGACATTAGGAAAAATTTTTTCAGTTAAAGGGTTGTCAAGCATTGGAACACGCTGCCCAGGGAAGTGGTTGAGTCCCCATTCCTGGAGGTATTTAAAAGACAGGTAGACAAGGTGCTTAGGGACATGGTTTAGTGGTGGGATGGCAGTGTTAGGTTAATGGTTGGACATGATGATATTAAGGCTCTTTTCCAACTTGAACAATTCTATGATTCTACTTTGGTTGACCATGGTTAAGGACCCTCTGGACCTGAGCAGTTACAGCAATTTGGAATCCTCCATTTTGCAATTTTTTGTAGTCCCCAGAGGTAAACCAAAATCAAAACCAATTAAAACAAACTCACAAAGTACTCCCCTGTCATTTTTCAAGGAGAATAATGCAGTTTCTCTGTGCATTTTTCTCACACCAGAATTCCTAAAAGCAACATTCCTAATGAGTCAAGACATGAGCTAGCCAAGTGTACCCCCCTCACTTCAGCAGGCTGGCCACCATTCCTGCCATCAGGCGCACAAGAGTGCATTACTTCTGTGCACGTTATGCTTGCTTTCCTTTCCTTGTTCTAAAATTGCTAAGAATGTCTACATACATATTTAATGCTGAAGAAAGAAATGTTGGTGCTGTTAAGAAACAATTGCCTTCTACTCATCTCCAAGCTACTCATGGACCTCTATGGCTACATCTCCAGCATCGTATTTCCAGACACAGAGGAATGCAGGATTTTGCATGATCATGACTGAGAGAGAAGGAAAGGGAAAAATTCTCTCTGAACACCACAGTTATTATCAGAGATCAACAAAATCTGCACTGAGACTTCCTGAGTTGCCCCAAGGACTAAATATATACAGGGCCTGATTCTCTGTAGATCGAATTCTGTCTGCACCAATCATGCACTGGAATGGGGTAAATCAAGTTTAGCTACAATTTCCTCTTTCCGTGACAGATTAGAGCACCCTGCTGTATCAGTAACAGAAGGACTGATGCTGACAGATATAGACACAGTCTTAACAGTTCTTGCTCCCCAGCACTGAAGAGGAAACAAAGCGGAAAAAAACAGTATAAGCTTCCAGATAACCTCTTCTTGGAGTCTAGAAAGAAATAAGGAACTTCCATTTGAGCTCACCTTTCACATCGCACTTGAAGGTTTGGCTTACTATTCCAGTGTCATTTTCTTTTTCTGCTGGCCATTCGTAGACATAGACTGTAGTACGAGAGGAGCCAGCATCAAGGACTATTCCATACTGGGGAGAAACAAATAATACATTAGATCAAGAAACAAACAGTGGTGGCTTAAAGGCCCACATGCAGCTGTACTTATTTGCACCATCAGACACTTTATAAAATATATGCACAGTATATTTACAAGAGAGATTAATTCTAGTGTTAGGCACTTAGGCATGAATCCAACAGACAAGCACAGAATGAATCTGGCTGAAAACCAAAGAACATACTACATATCTTCAATAATGAATTCAGTGGGGATGGAGAATGCTTATCTCCTCTCAGCATCAGGTTCAAAATCCACACTGGCACACAGATAACACCATGTTAGAACCTGATTTTGCAGCAAGTTCATTTCCCATTATCCCAGCTACACTCCCTGGACACTGAAGGGTTTGATACCTAAGCACAGGCTTTAGATTCAAGGATGCACAAGGGATCCATAAAGCTACGAGCAAAGAGGTAAAGTACATAACAGTCCACCGTGAAAATGATGCAACAAGTCTGGTTCTTTTCTAATTGCCCCATAAACCTCTCCCTTTGAGTGGTTTAGGCAGTCCACCTGAGAGTTTGCCACTGAAAACAGGCTGTGCCAGAGCATGAGACAACAAAGAGGGGAAGGGAATCAATATTACCCCATGTTTATTTATGAAATAAATGAGAAATATTTAAGTGACTTGCCCAGGTCACTTGGACTCTCTGTGGGATTAAAGCACAGGTCTCTCCATCCCATTCCACTGCTCACCAGACCAATCTTTCCCCCTTTCCTATCTTTTATGGCAGCAGAAAACTGTTGCAGCTGGGAAGGCAAACTGCATAAGGGATGAAAACTGCCATTTTTTTAATCTTCTTTATGATCCCTGAAAATACATTTAGCTGCCCCCCTCTTCCAAAGTCTAACTGGTAGGAATCACGCAGCATAGGGTTCCTTTCTCTCTCAACTTTTTTTCCTTTAAAACTACAGATGCCCAGAAGCCTGACAATACTGAAAAATGAGAGCCTCCATCTGGCAGCAAGAGCCCCTGCAGCAGGCTGATAAATTTCATCCCACTGCCTTCCTGGGGAGCCTCAAGTCTGACCAAGAAAGATCACTGCAGTGCTTCAGGTGGCAAACCATTCAGGCTCCACACCGTGTCAGTTCCCAGCTTCCACTGTAATCCTACAAACTCCTGCCCCCCAAAGAACTACCAGCAGTACCAGTCTAGTCTGTTTCATGGAATGGTAGAATCATTTGGTTGGAAAAGATCTTCAAGATCATTGAATCCAATCATACCTGTCCACTACTAAGCCATGTCACTAAGCACCACATCTACCCATCTTTTAAATACCTCCAGGGATGGGGACTCCACCACTTCCCTGGGCAGCCCGTTCCAATGCTTCACAACCCTTTCAGTGAAGAAATTTTTCCTACTGTCCAATCTAAACCTCCCCCGGCACAACTTGAGGCCACTTCCTCTCATCCTGTCACTTGTTACTTGGCAGAAGAGACCAACCCCCACGTGGCTACAGCCTCCTTTCAGGCAGTTGTAGAGGGTGATAAGGTCTCCCTTCAGCCTCCTCTTCTCCAGGCTAAACAACCCCAGTTTCCTCATAAGGCTGGTGTTCCAGACCCCTCACCAGCTTCATTGCCCTTCTCTGGACATGCTCCACTTGTAGTGAGGGGCCCAAAACTGAACACAGTATTCAAGGTGCAGACTCACCAATGCCAAGTACAGGGGAAGGATTACTTCCCTGGTCCTGGTGGCCACACTATTCCTGATACAAGCCAGGATGCCTTTATTTCTCTTGGCCACCTAGTCCTAGAGGACTGTTATGGTAATGAAAATTGCATTTATATTTATCCAGATGATATTAACCCTAATCAACTAAAAGCTGAAAGGCTCCACAGATACTGTCAAACCACTATGCCATCAAGGTTCTGTTCAAGTATCTACTTTAGCAAATATACTTTGAGTGTATTCCCCGTCCTTGAGAGAGAGATGAGCAGTCTGGAGACACATAATACAGGAACAGTCAATGTGCTCAAGGGCTATTAATTAAATCTAGTCTCGGTCAGCTTGAAATGCCAACCATAAGCTTTTCACTTAGCTACTTTTAGAGCTAACTATCATGCCCAAGTGGAGCTGAAAGATAAAGGAAGTATTTTTACCTCAGCTAACTGTGGGGCTTTTTGACCTACTTCCATCCTCCCCTGCATTTCCCAGCCTCCTTCCTGATAGTAACAGATTTCCATCCCAAAGAGTAGTGGTACATTTATGTGAACCAATGTGTGACTGACAACTTTATTTTCTTCCTCCTCCTCCTCCTCCTCTTTTTCCTATACAGCCTCTTGTTTCCTTTAAAAGACATGTTCATTTTTGGAAAGGACTCACTCTTGAAACTCCTCAGAACTTGAGTTCCCTCTATGTGAACTGGCCCATGCAGCCTCATAAAGTGGTGATCAGTGAGAAGTGTGCCAGATGTTAAAACTAAGATTAATCTTTAATTAAGAAAACAGAAATGACAGAGGATGAGGCGTTTTAAAAGGGTGAGAGAATTCTACATGCCTTGTCTCAGCCTGCTGCCTAAGACAAACTGGTTGAATTAAAATGCTCCAGTGACATTATGTTTCTGTCCAAGTTGCAAGTCAGATCACCTTCGGCTGCCCTTTAAGGACAAGCAATGCCTTCCTGCTTAGAAACACACTGCGTGAGACTGAGAGCACAGCCAAACCCTTATCCTGGGCTAGCAGCCTTTAAAGAACAGAGCAACTTTTTCTCCCTCCTTTCTCCTCTACTTCAGCTTTCCCACTGAGGACTTCCATGATCTCTACTCAAACACCAGTGGAGAGAGAGAAAGGCCTGGTGATTCCCTACTACCCAAGAACTGCACCATCTAGTCAATGGACTAGATTAGTCAGACAAGACAGGGAGACAACATTAATCCAGACAAGCTTCGCAGTTCTGTTTTCTAGGAAAATGTTTATTTTTGTGTTTACTGTTGCCCAATGTACCTCCAACACAGAGGTGACCATGCCGCCTGCCAGCATGAAGTAAACATACCACTTTGCTTCTTGGGTCTGGCAGAATACTGTGACTACTGTACATGTTTGCCAGAAGCTGAATAAAAAACAAGGTAACAATAAACCAGACTTTGTGTCTCTAAAGGTGCACTCATACACCTTTTTTTTTGCTGCAGCTGGACTGACTAAAAAGAGACAACTACCCCCTCCCCTATCAACTGTTTGTCCTTCCCCTGCAAGAGGGTACCCCTTGCTCACACAGCTACCTGTGTGAGTGACAACTACCTATACTGTTTCAGAGGCAGTTTCATGCTGTTCACTCAACCAGTCTGGTTGTGGCCCAAACAGAAGGGATATTCATATGGAATGGCTTTGCAAGTACATCCTGAAGAGTGGTAATTCCAACACGGAAGCAAGAACAAGACCCAAAATTAATCACCTTTTCAGCCTGAATACCATCCTCATAGGAGGATGTACAGATGCACAAACCCTTAAAGCAGGCACAGTTATGATGGCTCACCTGCCTTCCCATCACTTTGGAAAACTGCCACGAGAAGCTAACAAGCTAAACCAGAGAAGATGGAAGCCACAAAAGTGGATCCATGCTAGAAGCACACTTCAGCTACATAGGTCTGAACTACTTTTAATCAAGTATAACATGTACAAACAAGGCAAGAGTTGTGCAAAATTCAGGTGTAGAAAACTGTAGCACCTGGAGAGGGAAATGAAAGAAACACAGCAATGAAGGGAAGGTTTTTTCTCTTTGGGGCTCACAAAACATTAGCAGACAGAATTTTTTTTGACTAGCACAAAGGTTCATGACATTCAGAGCTAGCATCATTTACAGTTCTGGACTTCTTCACAAACTGTGTCACTAAGGATGTTTGTGCTCTCTTCATCACCCTTCTGACTTCACAGTGTGTGCCAATGAGTCACAAGATCTTTCAATGCCCCAGCTTCATGCACACAGGCATGTCCTTCCTTCACAAATCACTGGCTGAATCTTCAGATAACCCAATCACCATGGAACCAAAATACTTAATTTTGCAACGACACTTTAAACCAGTGGTGTAGCAGATAATTTATCTCTTGAGCCACAAAGGAATGAACCTGGATGCTCTCAACGTGCATCCTGGGAAAGAGCTGTTACGCCACAGAGAACACAAATTCTAGTTATCCTTCAGTAGCAGTTTCAGTTTCATGGAGGAGAGCCAGAAGAACAAGGCCATTTGCAAAAAGTAAGTCTGTTTTCATCATGTTATTGCCATATTTAATTTTAATCAACCACTGACTTCAGGACCCTGCCATTTCCAGGCTCCATCACATCAACTAAGTACTGGAGGGTTTCACACTGGCATACCAACGTCCTCCCTCTGCTCCTGAAGAATTACTTCTTGCGAGTGTTAATCATTCACTGAGGACTACTCAGCATCTCAGGAATCAAACATAGGGTCCTCCAACATCAGCTGGGATTTTCTGCACTGGAAGGCTTACAGCCCAAAATCCAAAGCCAAGGCACCTAGCAGAGGAACTGCCAGTCTTCCTCCAGAACCAGCCATGAAGCTGTTGTGATTCAGGAAGCAAGACCTCCTCACCTAAACCCGCTCCAAATGGTCAAGGTGGGCCCGATGTTTGCTCAAAGAGTAAAGCAGACAATTTATCATTCTGAATATGAAACTGAATTAATGACAAACACAAGTGATGCATAGGCTGTCTTTTAGATAGTGGCTTCAGCCTACATGTCAGTCCAGTCTTGCCTTGCATGAAAATTGGCAGGATGTAAGGCTGCTGCAAACAGAGATTTGGGGCACAGCAGGGAGTAAACTTGAGGCACTGTCCCCCCATGCAAGATCCCAGCACACATATCCTGCCATACCACACGAACACATAAAACTGATATCAGAATACAGTTTTATCCCATTGTCTGACTCATAGACTACTACATGATTCAAAGACCATGAAGTGTAATGAGGCATTAGCCTATCACTATCAGTAGGTGAACCATCCAGTTAAATACATGCGCAGAGGGAAAGGTAGAAAGGACTTCAAAGAAGGATCTGACAAGGTATATATGCGTGTAGCTATCGTGGGAAAAAACCAGAGAACTCAAAATGCCAGACTGCACAGCTGCTCTAGAAGGTCAAGTTCTACAGCTTTGTCCTCAGTTGTGCACATCTCTCATTGAAGAATCTGCACACGTAGTCCAGCAGCACAAGGCAAAGCCTGAATTCCAGAGTATTGCCGTTTGTCTTTTCCACTTTGCTCCACCCCTCCTCATGAAGCTACTTTGCTTGTTAATACCCAGCAAGTCCCAACATGTGGTATGTGATAAAGTGCACACTTACAGCCCAAATGCTTTCAACGCACAGGAGCAGTTTGCAAAGATTTCAGCACAAACTTCCTAGCTGTGCTTGGGGGCAGAATTTAAACTCCAGGTATTTCCCACTTCAAAATTATTTCGAAATTATTGCCAGTCTCTGGCAAAAATATAAAAGCAGTGGCATATTCTCCTCATTTGGCCTTTCAGATCTGGAGAAGACGTTGTGTGATAGGCATCACAGACAGGGAACCAAGGAATGCTTTTGCTGCTTTGCTACTGATGCTGTGATCTTGGCCAAGTCTCTTTTTCTCTCAGCTTCAGTTTTCCCATGATGAAAGTGTGATTAAATATTAATTTATGACTGTAAGCTCATTTGAATCACCCCATAAAAATTAGTTTAGAAAGGAACATTATTAAATATCAGTTCAAAACATTGTTCTCCTTCCTTAGGTATTCTATGACTTACCTTAAGCCCTGGGGAGAGGATGTGTTGCTGATTTATCTGAATCACTGCAATAGCAATGACAAGAACTATGCTTAGGAGGAGGAACACTTGGGCAACAACACTTGGGGTTCTGGTGAGCATCCTGAAACAACAAGAAGGGACACACTTAAAGCATGTGAAAGGATTCAATGATTCTGTCTTAAGGCCTGAAGCCCAGAATCAGTTGAGACTCCTCATAAAATCTCATTTTGTCAGCTAGTTTACACTACATGAAAGTTCTGTGTTCTCCTCAAGAACTGCCTGGTATTTTGCTACCACTAACTTTTTATTGTCTAGAAGGGGCGTATCTATATTGTCATGCTAATGATGCCAGATTTCACCCCCAGGTGCCAGTCTGCTCATTTCAGTCTGCTCATTTCCCACAGTGCCTACATGTAGATGCACGCTCACCATCTCCCCTTGCCTCAGGAAAGGAGAGCAATGGGCAGGCTGGGGCTAGTGCGCACATCCACGTATGCCTACGACACAGGCACAACCCCAGCCATGTAGACACAATGCTGGCGGCCGCAGAGTACAGTTGGATGTTTCTGCCAGACATGCGAGGTCAGTGTCTGTAATAGATACAGGCTGCTTCAGCAAGAAACAAAGGAGGTTTTAAGAACATTAAAGTAGGCGTCTTTCTTCGAACTGCTGATGTGTTCATGAAGTATGTTTGTGCACGTTTGCATATTAATGCAAAGCCTGTTATTATCACTCTGTGCTACACGTAAAATATAAAATACACAGTTTAACTCTCAGATCTTGCAATGGAAAGTTACTAAATCTAAGTAAATCTAATGTAGTTATGTTAGACAAACCCAAAGGTGACATAAAGCATGCACAGTGACGATAAGGCTGTTTATATGTTCATATCCTCTAGAAACATTTTCTAGAATTCAAATGTGGTTTACGTTTCCTGTAATTTCTGTTCATCCTTTATTTTTGCACGTCCCTGGCCAGACAGCTCTTCACCCCAAAAGGCCTTGCAGTACCTCCAAGTACTGACAATACCCACATTAAAAATTCTAATGCTCCACAGGGGTGGAGGAGGAAAAAAGTGACTGGTGGGAGATGGCAAGCTTAGAAGTATCAGAGGAACATGAAAAGGAGAACTAACTTTCCTGCCTTTCTCATTTTCAGAAACCAGTTATTTTGGCATAGAAATATCAAGTTAGCCTGGTATCCTGGTTTCAGCTGGGATAGAGTTAATTTTCTTCATAGTAGGTAGCATAGTGCTGTGTTTTGGATTTAGTACTACAAGAATGTTGATAACATACTGATGTTTTTAGTTGTTGCCAAGCAGTGCTTAGACTACTCAAGGACTTTCTGAGCTTCTCCTGCTCAGCCAGGTGCATAACAAGCTGGGAAGGAGCACAGCTAGGACAGCTAACCCAAACTAACCAAAGAGCTATTCCACACCATATAACGTCATGCTCAGGGGGGTTAGTTGGTCAGAGAGAGGGAAGAAGGATCGCTGCTCGGGATGGGCTGGGCATTGGTCGGCGGGTGGTGAGTAACTGCATTGTGCATCATTTGGTTTGTATATTCTCTTACCATTCTCATTATTACTATATTATTATTTTCTCTTATTAAACTGTCTCTATCTCAGCCCACGGCTCTAACCTTTTTTTGCTTCCTGATTCTCTCCCCCACCCCACTGAGGGAGGGGGAAGTGAGCGAGCGGCTGCGTGGTGCTGAGTTGCCAGCTGGGTTAAACCACGACACCTGGCATGATCTATCCTAACTCCCATTTCCTAATTCTTCTATACCAATGGTGGAGTCTACCAGTGGCTGTTTAGGGCTGTCCTGCTGTTTCAGCAATTGCCAATGCCAATCTGTGCTGAGGACAGGAGCTAAAATGTGGTCTACAGTCCACAGCCACAGCACACTGGGTCAGCCCCGTTGTACCTGCAACACACGGTCTTCTCCTTAGCTTCAACCAGAGCCAGGGGTTTGAGGGAGAAGGCAGAACAAATGCTTCTTCACACAGTTTTCATATTCTAAACCCCACGGGTTCTTCAGCCTGTGTACCCATGGTCCAACACCTATGTTCTCATTCAAAAGAGAAGCAAGTTATTTGTTTTGTTCTGGGACGAGCTTCGCTCTGAGCTTTGCTCACCGCTGCAGCTTTCCTTCTTCGCTTTCTGATTTCTGTAGTGAAATCTCACTCAGATTGGCTTTTGGAAACTCTTCGTTTCAGCCTGCCACATCTCACTTCCAGAATGTCCTTTTTTATACTCATTAACCCCCTTTTCTAAATCCATATGGGCTCCTCTTTTACTACCAGTCTACTCTTCCAATACTTTCTTTTCTTGGCTTGGCAATAGCTTTATTATCTTAATCATCAGCCAGTTTTAAGAGAAAATTAACAGCCACATTGATGATTTATTTACTGTTGTCCATTACTTTACTACCCTCAGGCATTCAAACATCATGTACACAGTGCATAAATGATTGAATGGAATCTTGTTTTTTAGTATTAGAACATATGTTAACACCTAAGATGAATTCTCACTGTAACCTGTGGACGGTGTCAGGGCATACTAGTGAGAAGCATTTATACAGATCAATTCATGTTTTAAAAGAAATAGCAGATTTTAACTATACATTTATGAATAACCATCTGGATAAAATACTTGTCTTTAGGGGGGAGAGAAAAATTTTTTTCTTTAGCTTTCAACTGTACACAGAGTTATCTATAATTGTAAAGTGACTGAAAGAGAACTATCTGCTTGCAATATACCAGTCACTCCTGGATCAAAGCACTGATGTTCAGCACTGGAAATAAGAAGTCATTATCAAAGAAAAAAACACTCTGGGCAAATGACTCTTTAAAAAACTAAAGCATTACTAAAGAGCAAAGCAATAACCACTATTATTAACACTGAAGAACACCCATGATGACTGCTGAAGTATTTTCTGCTGCATCTGATTGTAAAGGGGAAATTGAAATCTTGGTTAGTTGAATTTCTCATGTGCTTCCCTAGTACCAGGATTTGTCTTCATCAGAGATGATTTCTCTTTTCAAAAATCTTTTTTGACAGGGAACATCTCTGAAGACATTCCTCATACAATCTTGTCCCACTGGCAATCAGGACAATTTCATCAGGGAATAATCTGTAAATCCTGATTTAACCAACAGCCCGTGTGTCAGAAGGACACCTTACACTCCATGCCCGCTTGAAATTGTCGCACAGTTGACATCTTCGCTATCTGAATTGTGCAAGATGCTGCAAGATTTCACGTAACGGGATCAAAAGCACAGGGCTGTTACTTACTTTTAGCTACGCTCATCTAAGTCTCACACACATTCCAGGCAATGCAGTTATACTT